CGGTCCAATATGGCGGACAAAATTTTAAAATTTGATGGTTCTTCATGAAACTTGGTATCTGGGGGTTTTTGGGGTCACTGATTACGAATTTGATATTAGATTTTTAAAATTCAAAATGGCGGATCCAATATGGCGGACCGAAAAATTTAAAATTTGAAGAATTTCTATGAAAATTGTTAGCTAGAGTGTTTCGGGGTCGCTGAATCTAAATTCGGTGTTCATTTTATCCCATTATGTCAAGATTTTGACATAACCTCAAAAAGTTTCTTCTTAACCGCAAAAAAAAATTAAAAAATCAAGTCTAATGTTTAAGGTACAATTCCTACATGTTTTTGAGGTTGCTGAATGCATATTCGACGTTTATTTCACCCCAATAGTGTCAGGATTTAGGTCAAGGTGTAAGTGTATATATTTTCATAAAATTTACTATTAACCCCTTTGCTGTTTGGAAAAATATTCATTTTAGTGCCCCAAAATGTCCATCAAAATCTTTTAAATTGTTATATTTCTTAAAAATAATAAACAATTATTTATTTATTACTTTTTCTAGTATCATTGGTACCTATAGTATGTGAATAATGATATAAAAGAATTTATTTTATAATTTAAATAACAAATTTCTATCTTTTGCTGAAACTTTCACGACCCAACGTTGGGTCGGAGACAGTCTGGGCCATCTTTTTTCACGACCCAACGTTTGGTCGCAAACAGGCAACGGGTTAAGGGTTAAAAAATCATCCAATATAAAATTTTGATGACCAGTTATTACTAAACAACAAATTTAGTAAGTTTTTGTTTATTAATCCCATCAAATTGATTACTAAATTTGACTGAGAGCCATTGTTGAAGAATATTAGTGGTTGATGCGTATAGAATGGTATTAAGTTTAACTGTTAGCTTCAGCCGACAAAAATAAATCTAATTAGGGTCTACTGCATAGACAATATTTTGTTTATGGGGTTTCTGAATCTGAACCCAATTACCCTCACAGCATGGGATATCCCGTGGATATCCTATTTCCATCTCGCGACATCCCAGGGAGATCCCATGAGATATCTCACGGGACGGAAATTTGGATATCCCAGGGATATCCATTGGATATCCCTGGGATGTCCCTGAGATATCCACGGGATATGCAAATTTTTCTTTTGTGGTGTATCCCGCGTGGAATATCCCTGGGATATCTCGCGTGGGATATATGTCAGCGCATGTGCATTAAACGAAATACGATCGTTCCAAGTGTCAAAAGATTGTGTGGAATTATATTTACAAATTAAAGTCAAAAAAGTTTCATTCAATATTTGTTGCATCAATGTATCGTAAGTATAAAATAAATATATATAAATCTAGCTTAAAGTGTACAATTTTCTTAGTGAAGATTTGTTTATTGTTTGCCTCATTCAATATCTTTTTTGTTTATAAAAATTTTGTACAAACAATATATAAAGAATTTTTCATTTTCTTATACTGAATTTTTTAGAAAAAGAATTAAGTGTTTTGTTTAAGATGGAAAGGAAAAACAACGATTTCAAAATTTTGACATCTCAAAAACAATTGAATATTTTGACGTAATATTTGATGGAAACATTTCTGTTCATGTGTAGATTAAAATTCCTGAGTTTCATTGCAATATGTAAAAAATGCATACAGAGAAGAATATATTAAACATTTTAAATAATATAATATTTCTCATTAAAAATTCAATTTTTAAAAAATTTGTATTTACGTTTTTACAGATTGAAAATATGAGACGAAGAAAACTTAAGCCATTGACGTACTTAACTAAACGCCAGTTGAGTAATCGGTCATCTCAAAATCTTCGTTTTTATTCGTTCCTGCAAAATTATCCACCTTCAGTTGACGCAACATCAGATGAGTCTTCAAATGAAAATGAAGATTATTCACATCTTCCTGATGTGGATAATATATTTGTGAATCCTGATTTATCTACAGAGTCAAACAGAAATGAACCAAGCAACGTGGACATAAATTTGGAAAATCCTTCTGAAGGGGAAAATTTGAAGCAGTTTTTAAGAGAGTGGTCAATGGAATATAATTTGTCTCATTCGCAATTGAGACCTTTGCTTAGAAAATTAAATGACCACGAATGCTTTCATAACCATATACCAAAGGACCCAAGAACGCTTCTCGGTACTCCAGATGGGAAAACGTCAGTTGAAAATATTTTTCCTGGATTGTATTATCATTTTGGTTTGAAAAAAGGAATAATTAATGTTCTTCAAAAACATGCGAATAAATCAATTGAAAAAGTTATTCTGAAAATCGGCATCGATGGAGTTCAAATATCCAAATCATCCCAAGCTCAATTTTGGCCTATTCTTGGTTGCGTGGAACCATTTAGCGATATGTTCCTTGTCGGTGTCTATTTTGGGTATGAAAAACCTCACTCAGCGGAAGATTTTTTAGAACATTTTCTTAACGAAACTGAAGATTTGTGCATTAACGGTTTAGAGTTTGAGGGAAATGCTTTGCAATGTCAAATCAAATGTGTCATTGCAGATACTCCGGCCAAATCCTTTATTTTAAATATAAAAGGTCACACTGGGTACTACAGTTGTACCAGATGTAGAATAAAAGGCAAATACAAAGTACATCGGGTTTGCTTTTTGCACAAGCGCAGACGATTGAAGAAAAGGACAGATGCTAACATTCGATACATGCAAGATAAGAAACATCAATTGGGACGTTGCTGTTTGCGCCGAATTCCTAATTTTAATATTGTAAACGATATCCCTTTAGACTACATGCATCTTGTTTGTCTTGGCTGCACAAAAACTCTACTTTACTTGTATGTACTCTTACGTTCCAAACATCGTTTACAACAATGGAAAATTAAAAAGTTGTCCAAACGTCTGCACTTTTTAAGAAGATATGTTCCCAGTGAGTTTCAGAGAAAACCAAGAACGTTAAAGGATTTAAAATTCTGGAAGGCTACTGAATTTAGACAATTTCTGTTGTATACGGGACCCATGGTTTTAAAAAAAATATTATCGAGAACATTATACAATCACTTCAATACATTGCATGTTGCTATAAGGATTTTGTCCAGTGATGATTTTGTTAAATTCGAAGAAAATGTAGACTATGCAAAGGATCTACTTTTTTATTTTGTTGAATCGTTAGCTCAACTTTTTGGTAAACACTTTGTTTCATATAATATGCATGGCCTTATACACCTGCCAGATGACGTTAAGAAATTTGGAAAATTGGATAATTTTAGCGCGTTCCATTTCGAAAATTATTTGCAGTGTGTGAAAAAGTGGATGCGGAAAGGTGAAAAACCGCTCCAACAATTAGTTCGAAGATATGCAGAATTTTTGACTAATGCTAATGAGGAAATTGAAGAGAATGAAAATCTTATTCAATTGTGTCCTTCCTCAGAACACCACAGAGGTCCATTGTTGGAAAACTGCCAATCGCCACAATATGAGAAAATAATTTTTCGAGGATTTGAAATGAATGTTACGAAAGTGTCAGATAGATGTTTTGGATTAACAAATGGTGATATTGTTATTGTTGAAAACATTGCTCACGCCGCCAGCAACAACGAACTCATCATCGTCGCTAAAACCTTCAGGACCAAACAGAATCTGTACAAGCAACCATTACAATCATCTGCAGTTGAGGAGTATGTTGTAAAGAACTTAACAGATTACAAAATATGGCCCTTAAAACATGTTACCAGGAAATATATGATTGTGCCCTCAGGAAACGAGACATATGTTGTTAGCTCTTTGTTGCATTAACTTTTAATACAAGTATTGTTAATAATTTCTGAAATGTAAAAGAGATTCGATCATTTAGAGATAATTTTTATTCAATTTTCTCTTTATTATGAAATTTTTTGCATATATAAAAATAAGAATTAACTCCAAAAAATCACTAGATTTTTATAAGTTTTATAATACAAATATACTTACACTTTCTTAAAATCAATAATAAAAAGATAAAATAGTTATGTATTTTCGTGTTCTGCCTTCATAATTATTTTAATCCCTTTAGAAAAAAATTATTTTTTAAAAATATAAATAAAGAATTTGTGTTAAATATTAAGGATTGTCACTGCGATGGTAAGAAATTTCAGTTTCATAATTTTAATAAAAAAAGCCTATATATTTATTTTATTAAAAAAAACACATTCATACTCGACAAATGGTTGGTATGAATGGTATATTAGTATATTGTCAGAGGTTAACCACAAATTTTTTAGTGTTGAGAACACAAAAATTACGATAAATAATTGTAAAATATAATTATGATACAAAATAAACATAAAAATTATTAACATATGATTAAGGAATATTGTTAGTTTCAAGTTTATAAATCAAATTTGTATTTTTTGAGGTTATGTGTTATTGCGATGTTGATACATTTTTATGTGTATTTGTGTTTGATATTTATACAGCTATTTCTGTTCTGAAAACTAAAACTTTAATAATTATTTATGCATTAAATCTGTGGTAAACTTTGTCTAAACTCTTCGAGTTTTCACGTTTTGACATTGTCTATTTATACACAAAGTCACAGATTTTTCTCTCATTTCCTTCACACTTTTTTTCTAATATTTATCTAAAATCCCATAGAGCCTATGTTAAATTGCAAATTTATTTTATTTTTTTTAAACAATGTGGTTTTATCATATTAATATTAACTATTTTTAAATTATTAAGTCATAGATCGAAAATTAGAAAATTGTAAATTATCATCTTTTAATTTTGAATGAGCCCGGGCTCTCTGTTTCCATGTTGTCATGGCAACGTACTACGTCACCATGACGAAATTGCCCACTTGTTGCGCGCAGGAATGTGCGCAAACGTTTCTCTTCCGTTTTGTGTGAAAGCGTGATTAGAAAAATTAGTGAGAATAATGGCAAATAAAAACGAATTTCTTGTTATACTGTTTGAAGACGGACCTCAAATCGTGTGCCATGAATGGTTGACGCCAAAAAAAAACATATTCTCTACCCAAGGTGCAAATCAATGTATGCTTATTACAATACAGTTCGAGCAAAAAAATTTCCGGAATCCACGTGGACGAGAGAAGCCATTGTGGAAAATATCGCAGAAGCCGGTAAGTTTTATTCCTTCGAATTGTACAAATAAAAGTAATTTTTCTGTTTTGAATTTTTTTATTGAAAATTATTATTTGGTATTATTGTTGCTTCTAGAAATATTTATGCAAAACAAAACTTTTTTAATTTACTTGTAATTATTTAATGTAAGAAATATTTATTATTATTGCCGATCCTAATTTGTGAATAAAATGAACATAATTTTTTTTTAATTTACAAATACAATTAAATAACAATTATTTTGTTTTAGGGACTTTCGAGCGTGGACTTGAAAAGTTAAAAGCATACGAAAATGAGTCAGATTTAGATACAGATTTAGAGTCAAAACAAAAGAGGAAAACTAAGAAAGCAAGAAACCTTGATAATCTCGCTGGAAGATCGACGGGAGAACCTCCAAGAAAAGTATTTAAATGTTCTTTAAATGTTAAGAAAACAACACCTATCTTGCCGAAACCTCCTCTTAGACTAACAACTAAAGATAATGCTCATGAAAAAGAGTCAATTTTAAAATCTTCTACGCAATCGAGACCAACTAGTATTAATTCCCCTAAGAAAAATAATATTCCAAATTTGTCATCAGAAAAAAATCAGAGCGCTGTTAGTACTTCGAAGTTCACATCTGCTACATTGCAACACAACGATTATTCGTTAAACACACAATTTAAAAATGTGTACGGTCTATCCAAACGAATTGGTTCAGATACGAATAATAATTCTCCAAAAAGTACTATAACATCTCCAGTTTCAGCTGTGAAACTAAATGAAGTTCATTCTAAAGATGTTAATAAAAGTTCTTGGTCTGATGGTAAGTAAGATTATTTTAATTTGAATGTAGAATTTTTTAAGTAAATGTTTTTCGAATTCAATTCTGTATTTAATACTATATTCAAACCATAAAATTTCTCACACATTTTCAGAACACATGTTCCGGAGAAATATTTCCAAGTATTTAAATGACATTAAATTAATGTTAAATATTCAAGACGAAAAAATTAATGAAATACTGGAGAAGCAAGCAGAAAATAACATTCTTCAAGCGAGATTTTTAGAGTGTCAACCAGAATCCACTCAAAAACACGTTAAAAAAGATAGGACAAATCAGTTTCGCTCACAATTACCAGTTAAATCGTTGGATGTTTTGCAAAATATCGAGGACAGTCTTACATTGGCAGATTTCAGAAATGATATGGTAAGCTGTACTCTATTATTTATTCTCTTCATTTTTCACTCTTTCATGTTCAATTTTCTTATTAAACAAAAATTAACTTAATGTCGGTTATTTATTTGAATTAATATTATGTTCACCAATTAATATTTATTAATATTTACCTATTCAGTCAAATAACATTTTTGTTAAGTGTGTATTTCATTTTTGTTATGAAAAATTTTTCAATCGTTTTTTCCCAGATAAAATTTTAATTGTTTTCTAAAACATTTAAAATATTTTGTTTTATTTTATCCATTTCTTTTTATATAAAATCAGTAATATTAACGAATATTTATTTCAATATAATTTATTAATCCATCTTTCATATAAAAATTTCATTTTCCTTTGAAAGAAAAATTCATTCAGTTCAATCTCTTGAAATTATCAGAGGATTTTTCTTTGTCCAAATATTTATATTCAAGTATTTGGAATTATTTATTAGTACCTGTTGTTTTCGAAGTATTATTACCAAAAGTTTTTATTATTTAGGTTTCATTGTTTAGTGGTTTTGGAGGTAGACATGTTAAAGAAACTACATACACAATCATGAAAATGGCTTTTACCAACTCAATCGGGAGTTTATTTAATTGGTCCGGGCAAAAAGAGAAGTTAAACTTCTCTGGTCTACAATTAACTAGTGTGATATTAGGTAAACATACATAATTTTATACATTTTATAAAACTTGCAACTTAAGCTTATAACAATATTTTACATGGTGTGAAAGTTCACTTGAATGAATGATAATCATTGAGAAGCTATATCAAAGAACTCGCTCGATGCTTCGACAGAAGGATAGTAGTGAACGGCCCAGAGGCTCTTACTGCAACTTTACTTTTTGTCCAAGCATCGAAAAAGTTCTTCGACACAGCTCCTCCATTTTTTCAAACAATCTTAAATATTGATTCGAATGTTGCTAAATTTTTATTAATATAAATTTTTCTATTTACTAAATTTCCATTTTTTCATTGTAGAAACTGTTCGGCAAGTATGTAAAGTCAAGGAAATTGAGGTAATAGATGCTATAAAAGATTGGCTTCGTCACGCCCCTGCTAGACAGCTTCGAGAATTAAACAAAAATAATTCTGCTGTTGATGGTGAGCAAGAGCTTGCTCATGAATCTGAAGACGGTCTCTCCATTCATTCGAATGAAACAGAAGATGATAACAACGATTACTACACCCAGGATGAAATGGATATCTCTCAAGGGACTAATCCTGACCAAAATTCTTTGACTGAGCGTAAATCCGACACAACATTTGATGACACAGAAGTATAAAAAAAGAGTTTAATTCGCTTTCAAAGCGACAACGACACAGAAGTGTAAAATAATTGTTTCATTCGCTTTCCAAGCGAAAACGACGCGGTAGTATAAAATAATTCCTTCATTCCCTTTCAAAGCGTCAACAACAAAGACGTGTGAAATAATGATTTTATTCGCTTTCAAAGCGACAGCTTTTCTGTTTTTCTTATTTTAGTATTTTACCGCGGAAATTGTCGGAAACTTGATCACTTCATCAAGAAGTTTGAATTCTTTACGTTCTATAAAAAAACAGGCTGTAGAACACATTAAAAATTATTTTATTATATTATTAATTATAATTATATTATATTATTAAAAAAGAGTTTAAATAATAAAAGAATTTTCTATTATAATTGTGCATTTATTAATTTTGACTGGATGATATGAAAAACTAATAAATCTCTAATTATTTTTCAACATATTACTATTTCTCACGTAGCATATCCCGCGTGGATAATATTTGGATATCCCGCGCGGGTCTCCCATGGGATGGAAATTTGGATATCCCAGGGATATCCCTGGGACGTCACAGATATCCCAGGGATCTCCCTGGGATATCCCAATATCCCGCGAGATATCCCAGGGATATCCCTGGGATATCCTTTTGCTCAGAGGGTAGTCGTTTTCTTTTTTCAAACTATAGCGAGTTCTTTTGTGTTCAAATGATCTGTGTAATGGATTTCGTTTTCGTTTTAAATGGTTATTTTCTGTGTCTCTTTTTAACATTTAACAAAAATCAGCCATCATGTTTTCGTCCCATCTTCCTTGATAACGAGTTTCCATAACCTTTATATCCTGGTGGAACTGTTCGCCATGCTCCTCGCTAAAGTCGCCAAGATTGTCAGGAAATTTTTCAAGTTGGGAGTGTAAAAAATGTAATTTTAAATTTATAAGACATCCAAGCTTCTGATAGTCTCTAATCATTTTGTTCACAATTTCTTTGTACTCAGAACTTTTAGTATTTCCCAAAAAGTTCTGAGCCACTGCTTTAAAACTAAGCCAGGCATTTTTTCCAAAGTAGTCATTGTACTAACAAAGGCTGTATCTTTGAACAAAGTCCTAATTTGTGGTCCATCGAATATTCCTTCCTTTAATTTAGCCTCAGATAGTTTGGGAAATTTTTTGACTAGGTATTCGAAACATTTGCCAGTTTTATCAATTGCTTTTACATACTGTTTAATTAGTCCGAGTTTTATATAAAGAGGAGGAATAAGAATTTTTGAAGGATTTACTAAATACTCATAACGAATGTTGAATGTACCTGGTTTAAACGAGGATCTTCTTGGCCATTCCTTTTTTTATAATGATTCACTCTATCCCTACTGTCCCACATACATAAGTAGCAAGGATATTTTGTGAATCCAGACTGTTGCCCAAGCAAAATAGTTATCATTTTTAAGTCTCCACAAATCTGCCATTGATGAAGATCGTAATTGATTTTTTGCAAAAGGACTCCCATATTCTCGTATTTTTCTTGCATGACTGTAGAGTGGGCTAAAGGAATTGGGGCATATACATTAGTATTGTGAAGTAAAACAGCTTTTATACTTCGCTTCGACGAATCTATAAAAAGCCGCCAATCTTTGGCATCATAACAATTTGCTTTTAGGTTGTTGATAAGCCCTTTAACATCAGTGCAAAATACTAGCGATGAATCTGCATCTTTCATGAAGTATTTGCGGAATTCTGATTCTCTGTTTCGGTAAATAGATACTTTCGTCTTTGGCTGTAAAAGATTTTTTCTCTTAAAAAATGCAGCCAAGAACTCGGAACCGTCTTTAGGTAAACCTAAATTTCGTACAAGGTCATTTAATTCAAGTTGCGATACCAAGGATGGAATAGATTATTTTTCGGTGCTTGCCAACCAGTCATCATCACTGTTAGTCTCACAATCACTTGAAGATTCTTCATCAATTTCCATTGATTCATATTCAGATACGCAATTGATTTTTTTATTATCTCGGACAAGAAAAATGGGGCGAGTTACTGACACGACACTGATGTACACAATTTTGTTTTTACTTTTAGCGTTGAAACCTTTGACTTGATTGCAGCAAAAGAAACAATCTTTTTTACAGCCAGGACGTCTCCAAATTGTTGGAACAGAGTACTTGATATGCTCTGTATTTTTATTTTTTTCCAAAGATTCAGCATCTTTCTGCAACAATTGCAGATAATATTGGGAACCCAGTTAATTTTTGCAGGGTCATGCATTTTCAAATTAAAAATTTCTTTGTAAATTTTACGAATTTCATCATCAACGCTTTTCCGCAAAGAACTGACTTCGAATTTTGAGCAAATGTAACAAAAGACGTTACGATCTGAATCACAGTTATGTAATTGTTAGACGAGTTTGTCTTTTTTTCTTGTAGCATTAAACTCCACATTAGCCAAGTCACCAACCAATGTAGAGCTGCGGTCGTATGATGACGACGCCTGCGGGCCCGCTTTCTCACCCTGACCAGCCGCCGATTCTGGGAATCCGAATCCCTGTCTCGTAAAACATTTTCCACCTGTACCTGCCATGACGGCATCAAGCCGTGATCCAGGGACTCAGCCGGATAACGGAATTACTCCGTTGCCCGCCGTCACCGCGTGGAGGTGCCCTGGATGCAGATACAGGCAAGATCTGATGCAGAGATATTGATTACTCGAGTAATCATTATTTGTTTTCGAATAGATCTATTCGAAAACTAATAAAACAGCAATTAATAAAATATTCTCGTTACATCATTGAACTAAAAAGGTGTTTTAATTATATGTCAACTTAGGAAATCAGCGACACTAAAAACCTCTTAACACAAAGTTTCTCAAAAATATATCAAATTTTACAATTTTAGTCCGCCATATTGGATCCGCTATGTTGAATTTGGAAAATCTAACATCAGATTCATAATCAGCGACCCCAAAAACCCCTACATACCAATTTTCATAGAAATTCTTCAAATTTTAAATTTTTCGTTCCGCAATATTGCATCCGCCATTTTAAATTTTAAAAATCTAACATCAAATTCGTAATCAGCGACCCGGGAAACCCCCCGATACCAAGTTTCATGATGAACCATCAAATTTTAAAATTTCGTCCGCCATATTCAGTTTCAGCGACCCCAAAAACGTATAGTGCACATAGTGTGATCTCCGGGCCAGAAAAAAAATTTTTTTTTGTGTGGCTGTGTATTTAAAGGTCAGCGATAAACTTGCGGCATTGTCATCGCAGAGCACTACGTGACTCGATTATTTAAACCACTGTTATCCACAGTGTTGTTTATTTTCTGCTTATTTTTTCCCGACACGAAAAGTTGGAAATCACAAACAAGAAAATATCTTTTTAACGTTTGACATGTTAAAAAGAAACTGATTAAGTATTTTTTGTTTTTTACAAAAAAATTGATATTATTTTCTGTAATTTAAACATCCTATTTTACATTTCTCTTTACAATGATTTTTTTACCAAGTGCTCCATCGCATGATAATGAATATAATGCAAATCTGTAGTAATAATAATCTGTGCTATAAATTATAGTACTCAAGAAACCACAATTGACGATTCTTTTAAACTTGGAAAATCGTAATCGAAAAAGCAGTTATTAATTATATTCTCTACATAATTTTCTGAATTTTTCTAATTTCTTTTTTAATATTATAATTTTGTCATAACTTTTTATGAAAGGAGTCTAAAATAAAAATTGAATCTAATGCTTGACATACATCACTCTTCGTGGTTGGTACTTTGTCTCTTATATAAATTTTGACAGAACAAGTGAGCATCAGGGAAGAGTCTAAGTCGACGCTAAATTCCCTGCAAAAGGGAAAACGCACTGTATAGAATCTCGGAGTTTCATCAGGTGACAGGTGGCGCGACGTGCGAATACGAACATAAATCCAAATTAGCGGCAACATAACGCTTCTTCTCTCGTTCTTGGCGCACGCAACAACCGATTCAAGATTGCTCTTCGCGACTCAAGCGACGGATTGTAAATTGTAAAACTTCTATCTGGCACGATCGCGACGAGCCGTTTTCTCCCCAAGCCGCATTGCAAGAACAGGCGGCCGCGATCGATCTTATTCACAACGTTTGTCGAAGAGTAATTTCTTCCCTCTCGCTCTGAAGTCGGCTTATTACCCTCTTCTCATGACTTCGAATCTTTATTCTCTTTTATTCTTTAAATTGCGGACGTTAAATTATTATATATTAACTAATAATATACTAATCCATATTATATGGGTGATTTTTCTGAAAGTGACATTTTTTATTTCTCAATTAATTTTATAAAATCTACTCTCTAATAATTGTTAACCATTTTCATAGTAAAAATTTAGCACTTACTTATCATTAAAAAAAAATTAAACAATCTTATTCTACTGAATTTATGCAATAGCTAAAATAATTTTATCTCCGAAGCCTTTTTAGCATGTCTCCAATAGGTTTTCTATAAGAAAACTAAATTTGTATGCTTTTTTTCAAACTCTTAGAATTTTTTTAAAAATAGTGTCAGAAAGTACAATGTTTTTTCTATCATAATGTGCTTTTTAAAAATTTTTAGACTTCCGTTTTATATATGATAAAAATGTTAAAACATTGTCTTCAGTTTTAGATTAAAATTACCTCACGATGATTAATGATATTTTTATACATTAAAACTATCCTAAACAAAATTTTAATGCACACTAAAATAAAGTTGAGAGTCTGACCTTTGATTTGCCCCTATATTATTTGTAAAAAGGAGGGGAATTATTGCTCTTATAAATAATCAAGTTTTACATATTGGCCCGAGTAAAAATTCAATTTCATTTCCGATGCCTTGCTTTTTATTAAATAATTGAGTATACGAGTAACTTTGACGAAATATTTTTGATGATAATATAAAATTACGGTGTGAAATTTGTACATTTTACTAAAAAATATATTTTAATTGTGCCCTTATGTGAATAAATGTGAAAAAAAATTATTTTTCATTCCGAAGCTTTCATGTCCG